TTTTCTTTGCTGATTGTGGGCATAACAATTTCCATCTCCATATCTCATGCTGACTTCATTTTATTTCGAATATCTCTATGCTTTCTACAAGATTCAAGCTCACAAATGGAGTAATAACCTCAGTTTCATAAAAATTGGTTTTCTTCAAAAATGTTTCATAAAAAATTGGTATTAGGGGTGGTGTGATTCTCGGTAACTCTTCTTCTCTCTTTAATGTCTGCCTCTTCAACTTTTAAGAGTACGTTTGACAAACAAATGAACTATTTTTCTTGAATTCATGTGGAAATCTTAGATTTGTGAACCCATTTCTGTTTAGAGTTCCCCATATAGTTTTTTGAACACTGGAAGCACATAAATTAACCAACTTATCATTTAAACCATCACAATTCATTTCAAAATTCTATCTTATCAAACTCCACTTAGAATTTCATCGGACTTGTATCCTGTTTTCCCCTTATCTTCTCTGTTTTCTCTATTTTCCTCAATTTCTTACTCGCAGACAACTTAAGAAACGTCCTAATTTCTCGAAGCCCACCCCCCTCTTTGATAGACACACACACACACACACACACTATGATCTTATATGTTTCTCCTAAAGCTCTTCTATTAGCACTACGATGGACTAAAAATTGAAGAACACGGTGCACGAACTTTTTAGAAAACAAGAGAAATTATGTGGGCATTAATTGGAGAGAACAATCAGGCGTGACGACCATATTATGCATGAAAGCCTCTTCTTCCGTTCCGTTACAGACTGGAATTATAATGCTCTATCATTGGTCATTCTAACTTCTTGTATGTATGTAGTGGCAAAAGTTGGATTGGATGGTGAAAGAACGGATTCTCCATCGGATATTATCATTAAATTTAGAAATTTTAGTTAGTTACCAAGGAGACGAACAACATGTTGCGTTGACTGTCGAGGATACTCTAGCAAGTGACTTTCGGAATTCAACTAGTGTAGCAGGCACTAAGGACAGTGTTGATCTCCTTAAAACTTTTGAATTAGTGAGACCTTGTACAATTAGTTCAATGGCCCAGGTGGAATCAAGCTCTAAAGAAAAAGTATAAACTGGAATCCTAGAAGCTAGAAAGTTATAGATGTCTTAAACACTTGGTACTTCGGATGATTTCTCAGATCATCACCAGCAACATTTACCGAACAGTTGGGCCAAGAGACTGCTCTTTGAGAGTGGTTCAAACAGCAGCACCAAATATAAGATTCATAGGTTTTATCTACTGATACCAGGGCATATGTAAATTTTTATGCTTATAAACAATATCTCACATATTGATCCGATGGCAAGTGATGACTATTGTTGAAGATATTATCATTGCCAGTGCTTCCAGGGAAGAGTAACGATAGGATCTGGAAATTTGAGAGACAGCTAAATTTTACTGATTAGTAGTAAAATTTACTAATGTGAGCGGAATATAGAAGTCATGATCCACACATTTTGGGCAGAGAAGAAT